GGGGGGGGGGGGTGGAGGCAGGGCATAGGGTGGGGATTTGACTTTTTTCAAAAATTTGCAATCAAATTCCCTGCCCACGGGCAAATCATTCCAGTCAAATGCAACCAAATTTCCCCACCCCAGGCTGCACATTGCTGTCAGTCCCAAGGCAGAACCTAAGAAATGCACAATAAAAATATCTCCAAATAAAACTCTGCAATCTTTTATAAACGTTGCTGCATCACCAAAGATACATGTTCCTGTTACAGCTGCAATTATACGTTTTAACCATAATCCGTGTCACACTGGGTAGAATACATAAACCTTTAGGAGAAAGTCCACATTTTGTAAGTCTAGATATACCGTTCTTAGTAAAGGGTACAAACAAAGTCAGTTTTATCAGTGATTGTAGCGAACGAGCCATACACTAATCAACTGTACTTGCAAAAATCGGCTCGGTTTCTCTTTACTTCCGTTTACTTTAATACCACATTATATTAACAGGTTCAATTGATCAAAAACACCCTAAAACAAACGAAATTTGAAGACAAAACAGTGAAGTCCACTCAGCCTTCGCTTGCTCTCATTGGCCTCCATGACTTCCTGATCTTTTCAAACCGTATGGCGCGTGCGTGAAGCGTAGAAGCGGGAAACACATGTTCGGTCTCAGTCTTTTTCGTGCGAGTCGGCAGTCAAATATCTCCACGTCGGGCGAAGAAAGATTCAAATATCCCCTCCCCCGGGAGAACAAGATCAGTCAAATGCCCTACCCCAGGAACAACAAAGACAATCAAATCCCCACCCTATGCCCTGCCCCCCCCCCTCCGGCTTTACATTGATAGGTGCATTACCTGCGAGACAGGTCAAACAGACGAGACACTGACACGACTTACACAGTCGACACACGTGTACATGTGTCACGCCACCTCATTCATGAGGACTCGTGAACTATGATGTAACCGACTTGGAAAGGTTTCCAATTTCACCAGAAGTAATGCTCTTTTTTCAATCCCGAGTGCGAATTTACGTTTTTTGACTTTTCTCGCATTAAAATTTTGATTTAGGGCCTCGGAGAACGTTAAATGGAAGTCAAGAAACGTTGTTGAGTTCGTTTCTTTGACTGGATGATGAGCAGTAACAATTAACGAAAGCTTGCCTTTTGGAATTTCTCTCCCGCTTCCCGCCATCATAGAGATCCCGCTTCCCGCCCTTTCTTCTCCCGTCTCCCGTACCCCCCCCGCCCCCTGTTCTCCCGGGCTCCCGCCCCCCTGTCCCCCTCCACTTGAGAAAGTGGAGAACCAAGAGGCTGAAGAATTCCCAGGAGTACCCCCCCCCCCCTGGGGAAATGAACTTGAGTCTGACATTTGTCGTTTGTCATAGACATGATTCTAAATCTCTCTTATAACCTCAACACCCTTTTCTTCGACTGACGTTTGGTAAATACCAGGGTAAAAATTCTCCTCGATCCGGACGCACTGCGTGCAAGTACGCGTTGCGTGCCTGTTTTTCTCCATTTTTTTTTTGTCACACCTAACAGTGGCATACATGACGTTATAGTTTGTGAGGCGTCCGTTAACCACTTGTTGCGGCGTCTGTTGCTGCTTTGTTCTCAAGAGTTCAAGGAAAATATTTACAAAACACAGCTGAAAAATATGGAGGACTTTCACAAACGGTACACTAGAATATGTAGGGAACAACATACGTACCCGTTAGATGCTGTTTTAAATCACATTCGGCGTTATTTGGATAGCGGATTGTCTGGCGAAGAGATCGTGAATGATGCAGAGGAGATGGCGAAGTTAGATCTTTCTGGTTACAACCTAACACCAGACGATTGTAACGCCTTAGCTACGGCACTTGCAGATGATCTATTCTTTGAAGAGCTCAATCTTTCCGACTGTTTGCTTAGTGAGGAATCAAGCAAAATACTTCTTCGCGGTTTGATGGACAACCAAGCTATCAAAAGATTGAGTTTGAAAGGCAACAACATTCGTTCGGGAGCTGCAGAAATGTTAGGACAGTTTCTCAAGAAAAATACCTGTGTTCGAAGCCTTCTTGTTGAATGGAACGCGCTTGGTTTGTGGGACAGTGGAATGAGGGCTATTTGCGAGGGTCTGGCGATAAATCAAGTGTTGTTGTTCCTTGATTTGAGAAACAATCAGATCACACATGAAGGGGCTAATCATCTCGCTGTAGCATTGAAAAGAAACCATTGTTTAAGAGGCCTGGATTTGAGATGGAATAACATTGGTCTTCTTGGGGGAAGAGAGCTGCTGGAAGCCTTAAAATATAACAAAAGACTTGTAGGATTAGAACTAACAGGTAAAAATAATATACGTGCGAGGCTGCTGCCCAAAAAATTTTTTTGGGAACCTTTCGGTCTGATAACCTAAAATAAAAAGTTAGCAGCCCGAGCCACATTTCTAGGAGCCCATTGTTCAATAAAATTTTAATTAAAAATATAAGTAAGCAGATGCTCGAAACTTGATTCACGAGTCTCGAAACTCGAGTTGTTTGAGTTTCGGATTTCCAGAAAAGTGCTTGTTTGCTTACTTTTATCAGTGGAAAATTTTTGCCTAAGGTCGATGAAGACACATTTAATGTTTTCATTTCAAATTACAAAATGAGCAGGGAATTCTGTCATTCGTTAATGGGAAGTAGGCATAGAGGCTATTGCCATAAGAATCATTTAGGCATCCGTGCAGGCTCCTTGTTTAAAATTTTAGTCGCCCGTGAGCAAATTGAAGGAGCCTCTGGCAACCGGGCGCCAGTTAGGCAGCAACCAGGACATGTACAGGGAATTATACACCACTCCCCTCTACCACCACCGGTATTGGCAGCCAGGTGTCACTGTCAGCGTGCAAAGAAAGTTGTGTCCGATAGCCCGGGGCCAGTGGATTTTGCTATCGGGCTAGTGACTTTTGTTCTTCACTTGCCCAACGGGCAAGGGCTGTTTTTGGGGGAAATTCAAATTACAGAAGGATTGTAATCAATCCTGCTAATCAAAAAGCCAGGTTTTGGGGCTAGTTGAAATGAATTGAGGGCTAGTACATGCTAGCTACAACTTGTCCGAATGGCAGGCTGTAAAACTGACTTTCTTTGCACCCTGCACTATACAGTCAACCTCCGTTATTACGGACACTAAGGGGGCCATAGAAAGTGTCAGAATTAATGGGCTGTGCGTATTAAGTGGGTCATGTTAAAAACGCTCCTTTTAATATAACAAAATACTAAAGAAATGTATTAACAGGACATAAGCATTGTCAAATTTATTACAGCACACAGTGTCCGCATTAGCAAAGTTGACTTTCTATGAGAATCTGTTCATTGGGCATGAAACAAGTGTCCTTTGTCCACATGAACTGGTGTCAGTATTAATCAGAGGTTGAATTTAGAAAAAATCTATGGGCTTTGCACAAGGACACTGCAAACTATCTGTAATAATTAATGAGGTGTCTATATTAAGTGGGTGTCTGGTAAGAGCATTTTGACTGTACCATATCTTTTAGCTGCAATTTTTTCAGAAGGGATATTTGACATTACTAGGAGACTGAACTCTGAGTTTTTACGTTGGTTTTTTTTCCACAGAATAAGATCATTTTATTCCCTTTGTAGCAAAATTTAATAATTCAAATAATTTTACAGTAAGTCATAGTTAACATAATGTCAATTTTATGACATTAATTTTATCTTTTACAGGTAACAACATTCCTCATGATATTGTCAATGCTTTGTCTGTTGCCATTCAACAGAACAGTGACAGACAGGTAACATTTGAGGAGCACAGGCAAAAGACTGAAGCTTTAACAAGAGAATTAGAAATGGCTCAGGAACGTAAACAACAAGAGGTATGAATCCATCTGTTCAAGATCATTTTGCACAGAACAATGATATCATAATAATTATGATATTATTTTATTTATTATTACCTGTTGTCTGGTTGATTGTCGCCAAGAACAGTACTATTTGTTCATGAAATCTACGACAATGTTTCCACAACCTTGACTAAAGTTATTGTCAGAGTCAAACACCGATGATATTTGCAAATGGTTTTCTTGTTGCTGTTGTTTTTAACTTTTTCTCAAACTCATTAATAACTGGTAAAGAAAATTGAAAGGAAATAAATGTTTAATAAGTGTTTGGAAATCAGATGAAAAACTGCTGATTTTTGCATCCTTAATTTCTCCTGCTAAAATCATTTTGTTTGAGAAGTAATATCAAGCATTTGACTCAGTGTTTCATCACCAGATGAAACACCTCGAAAATTGTCAAAAATACTTGCTGGCATCGTATTTTCAACTCTCTTCTTGGTGTTTGATCTGGTGATGAAACACGGCGTCTCATGCTTGATATATTACTTGAAAGTCTTTCACTAAGGAAAATAAAATTTAATGTTTTCTTCCTAATTGAAGTGGAGCACTTAATGCTTTGTTTTTGGCAAGGAGACCTCAACAAACCACCAGACTTGCGGGTTGTCAGTTGTCAGAAACTGTTAGTGAAATTGCATGTTAGTCACCTTAATGAGTGCCTCTACCAATTTTTTCTTGAGAAAGGGAATTTTTTAGAAACTTTTAAGGCTAAATTTTTTTTTCACGCACCTGTTCTGCTGATCGTGAAATTGACAGGCTCATATGTGATGTCATAAGAGAAATTAATTCAGGAACTGATTATTGGGATTTTATGCATGCCTATTCCTTTTCTTAGAGTCACCAGTGTTGTTGCGTCTAATTATAATGCATCTCACCGACACATGGTTGATTAATTATTCTGGAATTTCTTTTGTTTGCAGGTTTCAAGTTTAAGAGAAGAAATTGACAAGCAGAGATCAAGTCATGAACTTCTGACAAGAAGCACACAAAATCAGATAGATCATTTAAAGTCAGCGTTGGAAGAACGAAAAGCAGCATTTGATTCTTTGTCATCAAAACTCTCGTCCGCTGANATCAGATGAAAAACTGCTGATTTTTGCATCCTTAATTTCTCCTGCTAAAATCATTTTGTTTGAGAAGTAATATCAAGCATTTGACTCAGTGTTTCATCACCAGATGAAACACCTCGAAAATTGTCAAAAATACTTGCTGGCATCGTATTTTCAACTCTCTTCTTGGTGTTTGATCTGGTGATGAAACACGGCGTCTCATGCTTGATATATTACTTGAAAGTCTTTCACTAAGGAAAATAAAATTTAATGTTTTCTTCCTAATTGAAGTGGAGCACTTAATGCTTTGTTTTTGGCAAGGAGACCTCAACAAACCACCAGACTTGCGGGTTGTCAGTTGTCAGAAACTGTTAGTGAAATTGCATGTTAGTCACCTTAATGAGTGCCTCTACCAATTTTTTCTTGAGAAAGGGAATTTTTTAGAAACTTTTAAGGCTAAATTTTTTTTTCACGCACCTGTTCTGCTGATCGTGAAATTGACAGGCTCATATGTGATGTCATAAGAGAAATTAATTCAGGAACTGATTATTGGGATTTTATGCATGCCTATTCCTTTTCTTAGAGTCACCAGTGTTGTTGCGTCTAATTATAATGCATCTCACCGACACATGGTTGATTAATTATTCTGGAATTTCTTTTGTTTGCAGGTTTCAAGTTTAAGAGAAGAAATTGACAAGCAGAGATCAAGTCATGAACTTCTGACAAGAAGCACACAAAATCAGATAGATCATTTAAAGTCAGCGTTGGAAGAACGAAAAGCAGCATTTGATTCTTTGTCATCAAAACTCTCGTCCGCTGAGTCTGAATTGCTTCTTTCAAAGAAAACCATCTCTGAACAAAAAGTTGTTGTAAAGAAGTTGGGCACTGAACTGCAAGACGAAAAAGAACAGAAGGCCATGGCAGAAAAACAGCAAAAAAAGAAATATAACGAGGTGCTGGAGAAAAACCAAGAGCTAGAAAACATCATCAGTGTCCTTGAGCGAAAAAACAAGAGCTTGGAGAATAAGATACGGTCTTTAGAAGAGGATATGGAGAGAATGGAAAGACAGTTTGCTGAGAGAGGAAAAGCTAGTGATCAAAAATTTCAGGAAGAACTCCTCAGCACAGAAAACAGGCTGCAAAAAGAACTGAATCAACTGCAGCAAAAGGCTTTAGAATATCGAGAAGCTTCAAGGGAGAAAGTGAAGAAGTTAGAGGAAGATAAGACTGCTTTTGAAGAGGAAATAAGCAGCTTGAAATCTCAGTTAGTCTCTCTAAAACTGACATCAGATGAGGAACTAAGGAATACCAAAACAAGATTAAAGCAGGAGGAAATAACTCGGTCAAGGCAATATGATGAACATATTTCCCAGGTTCAAGCTGCACAGAATGAGCTACAAATACAGAGTACAAAACAGCTGGCACAAATCACAGATTTGCAGTCACAGCTTAACACAGTAAACAGAGATAATGAGGCTTCTAAGAGACAACTGGAAACACTTAAACAACAGCTAGAGCGCAGGGATGCAGATTATAGGAATGAAGTTAGTCGATCAAGAATTGAACTTGATTCGGAGAGAAAGACACAGGCTGAGCTAAGAGACAAGATTTCTGACTTAGAGGATAAAATCTCTGATATGTCCCGAAAACACAAGGATGCTATCTCATTGAAAGATAATCAGTTGGAGCTGTTAAATGAGCAACTGAGAGCCAAAGAAAATGACATCAAAAGAATTCATGATGAAGAAATGAAGAGGGCAGAACTTTTGGAGAAAGCGATTTATAGTTATGTGTCAAGCACAAAAAATGCCTCTCGACCTGGCTCACCATACAGAACTTAGTAAGCAGTTAGTAAGAGTTAGATAAGTATTTTTATTATATAAACGCAAATGAAGTACCAGGACGGTGAGCTTTTGCACAAAAACGTGATATCTTCACATGTGAAAAGATCACCACTGCTATGGCTACATAATAAATTGCACCTTTTACAGTAGTGGTTTGGTATTTAATTGGTGTTTATACAATAAGTAAAACATTTCATGCATGGCCCCTTGAAGATACGAAAATTCTCTTCGTGAGTTGAAAATTAGTCCACTCATTCCCTGCGCTCTCTGTGGTTGTACTGGAGTGTAAGGGTTGTCTAAGATGGTCAAACTTGAACAGTCTAAAAGAACAGCTCTACAATTTACAGGTACAGACTAGAGGTTCATTTTTATATGGAGAAAATCGTTCATACCAGTATTTGGCCTTTGTAATGATTTAATTTTAACACATTTTGTGTGTGAAAATAAGGAGTGACTTGGTTAGAGAATAAACAGTTATTGCTTATAGACAACATAAGAGAGTTTTTTGGTCCAAGAAAGTAACAAAAAATGTTGAAGTGTGTATCGACCAACCATTCTCTTGTACAGACAATGTATGGATTCTGAGGCTGTTCTTTGGTCTGTGTCAGTTTGTCTATGGGGGTTCAAATAATAATTATTTGAATCCCCAAAGACAAACTGACACAGACCAAAAAACATCCTCAGAATCCATACATAGTCCAACTCAATACAATTATTGTATTGAGTTGAACTTTATTAATGATGTTGATCCAGTTTTGAGAGGGTTGAGCCAAACTGAAACAAACATTAACTTAGTCATAAATCTTGTTGCAATGTATACTGTGTCTGTCAAATTACTATTCTTGCATAGTAGAGGCTAGATTCCACATTATTTTATCCTCCTGTTATGCTTAAGTTTGCTACAGAACAGTGCCAAATCCTTGCACGTACATGAAAAGAAGTAAACAAAATGTAGCCTGGTCTCCCCTTTTCAGTATTATTTATTCTTCAAAAGGGAAACAGTATGTGTGACAAAATAGTTCTGAGCTGTTGAGCTTCAAAAGCTAAGTGACTGTGATATGCAAAAAGCATATAAAATGTATGTTTTAAGCAAGTGCTGATTATTAAAAAGTGTGAAAGGGCTGACCATTTTATCTGCAGCGTTTTATTTGTATCTTACTAGTAATTGCCTGCTAATAGGTGTTACCGTTGTTAGCATGTACATGCAACATGATTAAATTTATAATGTGTTCTACTGAAGATCTTTAATTTTATCTTTTTTGCGTGTATACAGTCTTTTAGGGACCTCTTATTTAATATAAGAGCTGAGCTTGTGAATTCTTCTGACCACTAAATATGCTTACTTATTTTTTTTCCTCGCCATTTCACATTTCACTAATGCAATCTCTCCAATAAAAAGTAAAAGGCTACCTGGTCAGGAATAAATCCCAAAGTGACTTCTGATCAAGTGCGCAATGCTTCCTTCCAATTTTAGTTCTATATGCTTGTAAATCAAAGAAAGAATAATTTTATTATGACCCCCAATTGGACAAGGAGTTGCTTTGGACTTTATTCCACACACCCCTGAAACTAGTATTTAACTATTATTGACTAGTATTTGGAGTAAAGCTGTTAAGAAACTTTTATCTTTGTATAATGTTAACATTACAAACTTCAAGTAAACAACAGATCAAAGCAAGTTCAACTGAATATCCATTTAAAAACGTTTATTGCTATTTTTCCTGAGACTGTGATTTAACATCACAATACTTGTTTCTGTTGCTATTTTCAGTATATGTAAGGTTGTGTTCTTGCACTGTATACTCACTACGAAACTCTTGGGAAAGAAATATTTGTGCAAAGTTGGTTAAAAAGTATGCAGAGCACTGAACAACATCTCCTTCATCAATTCCAGATACTTTTTCAGTTGCTATTATTTCACACAATGTACGCTTGTACCAGTTTGGATGTCCTTCTAATTCGTCCAGCACACTGAGAACATTGTGATCCACTTCATAGATTTCACCATGAACTTGCTGTTTAAAAGAAAACACATCAGCTAATTAATATATTTGCAAATTTATTTACTGCCAAGCAAATAGCAGGGCAGCATGTTTTTTAATACATAGCGGAAATTTTACTCTGTTTAATAGATATTTTCCTGGGCATTGACTTGATGTTATCAAGGCTGTGCTCTAGCAGAGCCCGGTGGCTTGTCGCACCCTCTTTTGTTCTCAGGCGACTAGAAAATCTTTGCTTTTTCATAGAAATCATATGCTGGGCACACTGGATTTCACAAGTTCAGAGCACTGGGCTCCCTTTAATTTTTCTTAGAGCATAGCCTTGGTTATGTCATCTAAATTAGCACCAGTAACATGTGTGCACACTTAGAATGTACCAAGGAAAAAAGATACTTTTGTCTAACAGACGATTTTCACGGTGAGGCACAGCCCAGGACCAGGCTCCTTGGAAGGGAAAAGAGACAAATAACAGGGTGCTGTCACAGATGGGGAAATGGCTCCTTTCCTTGCTTAATATCATAGGTGACGAATTACTCCTTAATTTTGGCGCGAAATTTCAGCGTTAATTTGTAATTTCACATGTGAAATTACTAAATTGCCTTGGCAAACCTGCTGTACGTCTCCGTTTCAAGATGGCGAGGAAGCTTTAAAATGTCATGAATGAAGATGTCAGGGCATAAAAAGACGCTTTAGAAAACCTGAACACACGAAAGAGCACATCAAGAAGGATTCTTAGAGTTATTTGGTTGAAAAATTCTGAAAACTTAAGCCAAATTTTAGCTCTAAACGTTTGAGAGAGTGGAGTTCACGATCGATTGATACGATCCAGGATAAACAAGTCAAAAATCCTCGATTGTGAACGTAATTCGTCACCCATGATATTAATAGGTAATCAAATGGCATACTTGTGAAATTAGGGAATAATTTCACTTGCGTTTTGTCCAAATCCTTATAATTTCCCGAGCCTTTTTCACTCGTCACCATTTGATTAAACAAACTAATCCTCTGCTTTGTTGGACTCTTTAATCACACTAGCCCGATTATTTGTCCTTTTGTCCACTAAGGAGGTTGGTCCCAGGCTAATAATGAAACATAAAAATTTTCTTTTTTCCACATCGCCCAAGTTGACAAACAAATTTTCAGTAGATATCTTTAAACAACTCAGTTGACAAAAGGACATAAAACATTTGGTTTTATTAGAATTACAGGTAATATATTCATAATTAGTATAGGTAATAGCTAGCATGATTTGTAGTGATATTTTGAAATTGTTATACATAATTTCACGAGTCGTTAGGCGTGTGAAATTTGAGGTAATTTTGAAATATCTTGAGTGGTATTTATGCCTAATATCATGTACAAATCATGCTATTATTTGTTTATACTACTACCTGCAAAGGTTTTGTAATTTTCACATGTAGGTATTTCAAATTAAGCTGAAATACCACTGCTCTAAGCCAATCAAATTGCAGAAATTTCTCATGTAGTAGTATAATAAAAATAATTCAATTTTTATAGTGGTACCTTTCCTTTGCCTTCCAAAGGTAGCAGAAATGGAATACCTGCATCTGTTCCAACAACCAGTGGATAAGCTTTCTTTGTCTGGCCTTTTGTTAGAAACCTAACCACTCCATGCAAGCCATCCTGCATTAGATAGTGATTTGCAAATCCTTTTTTCAAAGTGCCATACACAAACACCCTCACAGTCCCTTCCATAACAGAAAACCTGCTTCTTGAAGGTTTATTTCCTCAGAGCCTAACAAAAATATCTGAGGGAAAATGATTTTTAGTTTAGTTAATTTTATAGTGAAACAATGCAGAAAATTGTATGATTCTCATCGATTATAATCCATCACCGATTGTTCAAAACCTTATTTATTAAGCAGCATAAAAATCGATTCTGCAAACTGTTCAGTCAGTTATCACTGAACAATCTGATTATTTATGTTGATCAATTACTGATTTAATCTCAGCCCATTCTCATGTCACTTAACAGTGACTTAAGATAGTACTAATCCTGGGTCAAATCCAAACAGACCATTATGAGTTGTAAGGTAATTAATAATTAACCCTTAATTAATTTTGCACTAATTAATATTTGTACACCTTGGCCCTAAGCTACATGTATACCACTGTGATTGGTTAAAAATCATGCACCAAAGCTGTCTTCACCAATCAAAAGTACTGGGTAATACTCTAGTTGACTAGCTCATGTATTTTCCTGCACATATTAATAAGTTACCAGTTTATACTGGTATCATATTTTGCTTGAACAATAAATAAATAGACCCTAGCTTTCATTATTTTATAAACAAAAAATGGCTATAATTTCTATCACTTGTGTAAAGCTAACTATATAGAAAAAAATATCTGTTTGGTGTTGGCCATGGAACAGATTAATGATGAGAGAAAAAACATCACAAAAATTTAAATTAAGTCAGGCCAACATAATTATCGTTGACAAGCTCAAGGGCCTGATTCCAAAGAGGAACGATAGCCTAGTACTAGGGTTATCCTAGCAAGAGGGTTACTCTGACTAACACTTACACATTTCTTCTTACTTATTTTTATTGGAAATGATGTTTAGAAGGCAGTGAAGATTTCCCTGGCATTAGGGTTACCCTTGCTAAGTGCTAGGATGAGGGGAAAAGAAAACATGCTCACTGTTTTTATCAAAATATCATTTTATTTTTGGAATACCAGTTGATCGAGTGCCTCTGCAGTGAAGAGAAGTTTTGGGTTGAAATAGGGCAAAAAAAATTTGTCTGAAATGGGGTAGGAGATTCAAGGGACATGGCTGCACAGCCACAACCAAATGTCCCTAAAGTATCCTACCATGATTATAACGAATATGGACATTGAAATCAGAAACTCAAGTTTTTCTAAAGATGCAAACCCCTGAAGATTTAAAATCTGGGGACTGGCATGTCTCTTTTGCAGTACCCCTCCCCCTCAGATAAACACAAATCAAGCCAGTCCCCAAATAATAACAGTCTTGTGTAGCCTCCCCGCAGACGTCCTTTGGGGTTCGTTTGTCACGCATTCATTTCATGAATGCGTGACAAACGAACCCCAAAGGACGTCTGCGGGGAGGCTAAGTCTTGTGATGAAGAACGTGTAAAACTTTCATTGAAATCAGACTGAAATCTTACTTTGAATTTGTAATAAAATGGGCTAAATTTTACAAAAATAAGCCACAGAAAAGCTCAAAGGTCGATTTTATCCTGGAGTGTGATTTTTAATAGTGATCCGCACGGGAGAACTCTGTGTGACTCCCGGTAATCCGCTGGCATAACTGTACTTTTGACTCCCGCTAACTCGAACCCGCGCTAACTCGAATCTCACGCTAACTCGAACCAAAGTCGATTTCCCCTGGTTTTCCGTTTTACATTTACTGTAATTTTACCCTCGGCAACTCGAACCCTCGATAACTCGAACCTCCCGCTAACTCGAAGTAATTTTTGTTTCCCTTCAGCTCATTTCTGTACAATTTTACCCTGGATAACTCGAACCATGTTATAAGCGCGTGGCAATTAAGTCGGGAAAAAAACCGTGTACTGAAGTCCGAAACATTGAATTTATTTAAAAAAAAAAACAGAGTAAATTCTTTTCTTTTTTGTCACTCCAGTTCAAATTCAGTGTCCATCCCTGTATACTTTTTTGTTTAATTGCCTTTCCTTCCCATCCATTTGCCTATTTCCTTACTTCCGGTTATTTGCTTCGAACTCCCGAGAACTCGAACTTTTTTCGATTTCCCTTGAAGGTTCGAGACATCGGGAGTCGACTGTAGGTCGACTCATGCCAACACTCGCGAGTAAAAACAAGGATCAAAGCCGACAAAATAGAGCGTAGAAAAAATCATCGCTAGTTTTGGGCAGAGTGTGATAAACACTGGCCTGAAACATGAAAAATTTGCCAGTAAGCTTAATAAAGTAGAAATGTGCGGGGTCACTCGAGTAGCTGCAGATCACCCCCCAATGTTGAAAAGGCGTATAGAACCCAGAAGACGAAAATCACTCTTACCTTAATACGAGAAGAAGTCAGGAAGCATAAAGGCAACCATGTTCCGCCACGTTTATTTGGGAGACCGCTGCATGTCCGGCGTTGGTTGCAACCGTAAAGGCAAACCATTGGACTGCGGACTTTGAATTGTGGATCTCGTACAGGTTGTGCCAACTGGAAATACTTGAATGTGTTATCGAAGCATGATGATAAGATAGCGTTTAGCGTATTTGTCTCGGTCCCAAAAATCAAAAAAAAAAATTGAATAAATAAATAAAAAACGGAAAAAAACAATTCCAAGGTTCTGGATTTCCGATTCTACAAGCAAAATCTTCCCGGATTCTGGATTCCACACCGGCCGATTTCCGATTTCAGGCGATTCGACATTTGCACATCTCCCATAACCCTAACCAGGAGCCCATCAAATGGAGCCTCCATCTCCCATACAAGCCTTTGGAGTCAACCCTTTCCTGAGTAGATTTATAAATAGAACGGTTCCCTGAGGAGGTTTCGCGCGCTGATAGAGTGAAGAGCCAATGAACTGACAGAGAAATGACAGTAGTATTGTCTTACGGCAAATAAGTAATGGCGGACAGCAGGGAAGGGGTTTGTGACTCGTCAGACGAAAGTTCTCATACGATTCAAGACTCGACGAGCGAATATTCCACATCCTCTGAAAACGAAACTGACGAGGAGGATTTGACCGAAGCAACGACATCTTCCGACGGCCGTAAAAGATCAAAAACCTGCAGAGGGAAAGGCGACTGCGAAGACCACGCTGCCTCAAAAAAAAGCAAAGTAACCGCACTGGACAGCAAAGAGGTAGAGGATCCTGCCTTGGATTTTTTCTTCAGATGAAGCACAGAAAGTGGAACAACATATAAGATCGTCTTTGCTAAATGATCCTCGCGTCGAGTCTTAATCAGATCGCAAGCAATTTGCCAAACATTTGTTATGCGCCACTGAAGGGTCAAACTTTGAACTGTTGGTGACAGGGTTTTGTGGAAGGTTTTCAACCTTGGCACAGGAATCTTTCGCGAGTAATCTCCAGAGTTACAGAAAAGAGTCCTTTTCGGTTGCCTGGATGAAACCGTTGACCAATTTTCAGCCTGGAAAGATAACTCAGGAGAGAATGATAGTTGGACGGCTTTTGCGAAAAGCACCTACTATATTTTCTGCAGACTACGTTCATTCGGTCCGAAGCGTTGTCAACGAAACTGTTTACGGTATGATTCATGAACACATTCGTTTAAACAAAGCGGAAAACGAGGCTGGTGAAGACTCTGCAGGTCAGGGGCGCCGCGAGTTGCCAGAAGAGTCCGATGACACTTTAATTTGTTTAGGTACTGTGGAGCCGCTCTTCAAAGAATGATAAAGCAGAGGACAGAAACAAGTACGGGGAGAATTGTCAAAGAAGAGAAAGCCAGTATTGGAAAAGGAGCTGGAAATTCTACGTGAACTCGTTATGAAGGACAAGTCGGATATTTCCAATAGCCTGAAAAATTTAGACGAAGGAAATTTGACATTCCCCAGGGCTGAACTTATTCCTTTCTTAAGATCTGTGGACAGAGAAGTTCGCGGATACGCAACAGACTCAAACCTTACAAAATATCCGTCGAAGTTTCTGAAGATGTGTCAGAATGCTGTGTTAAATAATGAAAACCTTGAAGCGGATCTCCGCGTATTTGTTGCATCTCTTGTCAACTCAGAGTGTGCTACCGATGTAGAACTTGTGAATGGTCTTTTTCACGGTGTGCTATCAAAACTGGCGAACACTCGTATCAATGAGTTTATGAATGCAAGAATAGAGAGGGATCTTAAAGTTCAGGGTAAAGTGGTAGATGGGCTCCTGCCCCAACCCTAAAACAGCATTCTTTACAAAAAAAAATAGACCCAGACCCCGGTTCCGGTTCCACCCACGACCCCGACCCCGCGTTTCACTGACACCCCCCTAAACGTACCCTAACCCTAACTCTAAAACAGCATTCTTTTATCAAAGTGCCCGACCCCGCGTTTACCCCCCCCGGGGGGGGAGGGGCGGTACTGCCATATATGGGCTATATAGGTATGAGCCGCTGTGAAAGTTTTCAGCCGGTTTGCTCTGGGATAGGGTATATAAATCAGAGAGTTTGGGTTTGGTCAGGGTGTCATTTTCCAGGAAACTGGTCAATTGGTTGAAGATTTTAGTCCAGACTAGGAAAACCGGGATTTGCCACTCAAAAATATATTAAAAAAATCAGATGGGTATTGATTTAGCTAGACTGTGCTAGTGACCTCAGTAGTTTCTGGAAGACAGCTACGTTAGGATAGGCGGGAATTTGAGGAGTTTAGTCCAGTACAGGGTAGCAAAATTCACTTAGGTGGCTTTCTACAGTTTTCGGATGAAAACTATCGACTTTTTCAAATTAGAACATTTTTAGCAACTGAGGGTCTCTACTGAGCTGTTAATCACTGCAATTGATGTAAATTGTCATTTTACCTCCTAAAAACATTTTATTGCGAAGTATAACGCGAAATGTAGTGACCAAGCGTCCAAAAAGGGCGCTTTTTACTGGAAAACCTTTCAGCATCAAAAAACACCGGTCGTAACAAGATTTCCAGTCTAGTTAAACAACATAAAGGCATCATAAAATATAACATAATCTATTTTAAAAAGTTGGCATAATATTAACTAAAAAGAATTTAAAGATTGACAATGTACAGTCTGTGATTGTCAATATCATCTTTGCATAAATAATCCTATAGTTCTCTCTTGAAACAAGATAAAACAGTTATTTTCTTAATTTACCTTACTTCAAATTTAATGTTCTTTGCCCAGATCAGAAGAGGTCTTTACACCCATTACTTTTAAAATTACACTTATCTCTAAGAGATCTACCATGGAGCTGCTTTCTCTGGAACAGATTAACTGCTTTAGACAATTAAAGCTGTACCTCCCCTAAAGGTGCCTATTCACAGGCTGCCCTGATCTCTTTCGATAGTGTGCCTTGTCACTGTGCAGCTAATCATTGCGTGCAGCCAGACTTCCCTTGTTTGTCTGTAGCACTTTAACAACAAACTTAAGCTAGATCTCTTAATCTTAGGCCACTTACGCACTTACCAACTGATCGGAGAGTTAGCTGAGGTATCAAGCTGACCGCTGAAAACCGGCTGTATAGGGATACACAGGAAACAAAAAATCCATTGCATTGGAGTGGTAAAGGGCGCACCGGCTGGACCCCCTTTTAAGAGGAATCTCATTAAGGAGGGTAAGAATAAACTAACGTAGATGATATCATATCCGTTTGTTATGAAATGCGGTGAAATCTCATTAAGATAAGATCATGTGCCATTATTAGGTGCTTTCATCGGTTTGACAGTTTTTCCACTTATTTCTAGGTCGATGAATATCTTGCTTTTTGATTGGTTGGTATTCATTGGTCGATTCATGTTCTCGAAGGAATGAGCGCAAAGCCTCCGCTTTCATTGTTCAACAAGCTGTTCTAAAAAAGAAAACCCTGGGTTCCAGAGGATCTTTCTTTCTTAACGATATTGATGGTTCGCGGCGAAGCCGCGTCAACGAGGCGCGAAGCGCCGAGAGAAAAAAATAACCTCTGGTCACAGGAGCTAAGAGTGGCATTTCCATGCAATTTTAGGATCATTTATCTCATCAAACCGGTTTGGAGCTGATGTGCATGTTTGTTTTCATTGACGCTGACAGCTGGGATTTGATCGTACATGACTCTACGTCTGCGATGCATGAAAAAAGAATTTCGCGAAAGCTTACTTAGAAAGGAAAGTGCTTTTAGGAAAAAAAGAAAAAACCTTTTGCACCCAGGGTACTATCCGTGAGAATGCAGAACTGAGCCCAGCAAGACAAAGCATAGCAGGAAATCATCATATTCATTCAAAGTACGTCCTTTGGTAGGAAAAATTCAAACAAAGCTTCGTCCTCGAGCAACATTCATTCAGTTGTCGAATGTTCGCTTGAATAATCTCGAAGTTTAGCCAGAGATTACTTAGCCAAACTTCCAAAAAGGAAACATGAAAGGCGAGATCTCCTAGTAACAACCCAGGATTATATTGTTTGTTATGAACGTCGTAATTGCAACCGGTTTTTAATATCATGCGGTGAAGTTTTTCGATGCAGCCAATCAAGTTCACTGTTACAGCGTTAATTCCTTGTAGAAGTGGGAGCAACCAATCGGCGACCCAGTTCGGATTCTGAACTTATTTCTCGCATGGAAATGAGGATGGGCTTACTTGTGCGACCAGAGGTCCGTCTCGGGAACCTTATCAAACCGTTAGCACGGTATATTTTATATTAGGTATTTTGAGAACGGACCTCTGGAGCCTGGGTATCAAAAGACGGGCATATAAACAAGAACGAGGAGAAAATTGCTTTTTCGCGCACAAAACACAATTTTTACTAACTCCCTCCCTATTCGCTTGTCACATTTCTATTGTTTTCCCTCCCCCGACGCCACTATCACATTTTTAATGAGGAGCTTAAGCACCGACGACGGCGACGTCAACGAGAACGGCAAACAAGCAACAGGTTTAGATTGGCAGAACAACAACTCTGTACGTGATCACGCTTTTTGTACATTTCTTTGCTGTCACTGCACGATAACGACGTGAAAATTCCTAATTTCACTTTTTGTGGAGGACGTGAGCACAAGATAACAACTTTCTTTTTCTATTCTCAAACTTTGGTACAGTCTTAGAATTCAACTCCAGAAAAAATTGCCAACATCTAACGAACTGGACGCGGTGGAATGAGCGCGGAAAAGTTTGAAACAGCGCAAATTCACTTGTTAAGTGACGGTTTCGTAGCCGTTGCCGTCGTCGTTGCTTAAGCTCCCTATAAGGGACCTTACGAAACTACGACAGCGACGGCAACGGGAACGTCAATAAAGCAATAGGTTTATTGAGCAAAACAACAACTCTGCACGTGCATCACCCTTTGGTACATTTCTTTGCAATCCCTGCATAACTACGACGTGAAATGACTAAATTTTAAGTTTACTTGGGAACGGGAACGGCAAGTCGATAAATTCTACCATCCCTTTCAGCACTTGGGCGCGGTCCTTTCTCTTCAGCTCCAACCCATATTCCATTCTTTTAAGTAAGTGAGCCCCTTGGAATAATCGCGAAAAAAAGCGAAAGGATGCGAAGGCTATTTTGCAGCGACGTTTTCAAGGACGTCGCCATTATCGGATCGTAAGGTCCCTATTAGGGAGCTTATGCAAGGACGACGACGACGGCAACGAGAACCGCAAAAAAGCAATAGGTTTAGACAAGCAAAACAACAACGTTGCACGTGCATCACGCTTTTTTGTACATTTCCCTGCCGTCGTTGCACGACTACAACGTGAAACTGTCTAATTTCACGTTTTACCGAGAACGAGAACAAAAGACAACACTTTCTTTTTTTTTTCCTGAACTTTGATGAAGTCCATTAAGTGACGTTTTCGTAGCCGACGCCGTCGTCGTTGCGTAAACTCCCTATCGTTTCCCTCCACCGCCGCTACCAGCACCACTACCACAGTTTCTTCTGTTTTCCCGCCAACACAAAATTTACAGGTTCTATACAAGGTCAGAAAGGCCTAAACAAGGCCAGTAGGGCCCAAATCAGATCAAACCAGTCAAACTTAGGCCAAAAATAAAGAAAAGGACTAATGGGGCATATTCTGCTGACAGTTGCAGTCCCGTTTACAACAATACTGTGTGATTTTCGGAGGTGGGTGGAGGCCAAGTATATATTATTTTGAAGGATATACAATTTAATGATTCAAGAAGATAACACGAGCAAGGCCTAAGGTCAATTGACTTATCGTACAATCACATCAGGATATATAGGTCAAGCGCGGTCTCTAAGTAAGAGGATTAAGGGCTAATCCCATAATTACAAGCATGCCTGAACTTGCCTGCGCCTATTTACATGGCGATTTAATGATAAATTGACGGTATACGACCACTCAGCAACAGTCACCAGTCTCCAGAGCTTCGTTTATTCGTCGAAACAAGAAAGAATCTAATTTGATTGGAGTTTTTAACTGAGAAAACGCATTTTTTTTTCTGGCATGTCTATACCTTTTGGTAAAACGCCCTAAGTTCATCTCTATGAAACCAGTTCTCCATTTTAAGTTCTTTAGCCATATTGAACACATTTTTGGCAAGCTCCTTCGCTTTACTTACTTCATCTGGATAATTTCTATACAGAAGTAATGCCAAATTGGTGTTGATCTCAACTTTCCATTTGTGATTTCCCTCGATAGTGTTCGCAGCAACTTCACTTCCCATCTCGAACATTCCTCGAGCTTGGTTAATCCTTCCAATCTTTTCATAACATCTTGCAATGTTTTTATAGGTCGGAATCGCCTCTTTCTGTTTCATCATTCCCANTTACAGGTTCTATACAAGGTCAGAAAGGCCTAAACAAGGCCAGTAGGGCCCAAATCAGATCAAACTAGTCAAACTTAGGCCAAAAATAAAGAAAAGGACTAATGGGGCATATTCTGCTGACAGTTGCAGTCCCGTTTACAACAATACTGTGTGATTTTCGGAGGTGGGTGGAGGCCAAGTATATATTATTTTGAAGGATATACAATTTAATGATTCAAGAAGATAACACGAGCAAGGCCTAAGGTCAATTGACTTATCGTACAATCACATCAGGATATATAGGTCAAGCGCGGTCTCTAAGTAAGAGGATTAAGGGCTAATCCCATAATTACAAGCATGCCTGAACTTGCCTGCGCCTATTTACATGGCGATTTAATGATAAATTGACGGTATACGACCACTCAGCAACAGTCACCAGTCTCCAGAGCTTCGTTTATTCGTCGAAACAAGAAAGAATCTAATTTGATTGGAGTTTTT